TTTGCGCAGTGAAGGACCCGGATGTAGAGCTGGTGTTACGGTGCCTTCTGTCACCCGGATTATTCTGTGACCTCCGCTCATGTTTACATACATTACATATCAGAAAACAACATTTTATTATATATTATTATTAGTGGTTGTAGTAGTAGAATAAGACAGGCTATATGTATATGTATATATGTTCATTTTAATTCATTTCTTATTTTATAGTTATTTTATAATTTTTAATTGTTATCTTTGATTTTATCTTTATTTTTTATTAATTTAAACTACTGCATTTCCCCACAGGGATTAATAAAGGTCTATTTTATCTTATCTTGTATATATTTGTTACTGTATTTCAACATGTATATTTTCTACTTTTTTTAATGCTATTTTATTTCAGTTTTGAGACGTTTACATTTTGAATTGTTTGTTTCTTGTCTTTTAATTTCTCAACGCAAACATTTCCCAAATTGGGATCCATAAAGTACTTCTTATCTGATCATATCTTATCGTATACAAAACTAAAAAGTCTCAGTGCATGTTAAGAAAATAATACTAATTTAATTTAATAAAAGCAGCAGAAATCACAAAACATACATCATATTTAGATATTTTAATAACCTTAAAACCCTAATTGTGTTCTCTATTCCAGATTAAATGACTGTGACAAACACAGGTGAGTGTGTGTCGCCCCCTGCTGGCTGCACACACTCACCTGTGACAAACACAGGTGAGTGTGTGTCGCCCCCTGCTGGCTGCACACAGCAGCAGCGATACAAAACACACCATATTTTATTCAATTCTATTTCTAGGATTACCATATTGTTTATTATTTATTTGTTTATTCCACACATGGCAGTTATCTTAAAACAAAACATGTTCACTTATTCTGGTTGTTTTGTTTATAGCGCATGGTGGAAAGGAGCAGGGAGAAGAACATCTTATTTTACCTGCCTCTTCTTTAAAAAAACAACAAAAGATTAAATAACCATAAACAAGTCAAATAAAAGCAATATTCTTTCAGCTGCTTACAAATACTGAAACATAAAACCTGAACACAATCAAAACTTCATACTGTCTAATTACGCTTTCTTTATACATTTTCTCAAACATAAAAATGTTCTTACAGCCCTTAAATCATTCGGCAAATTCAATGAAATACTGCAATTTTTTTACTATATTTAACCTGTTAAGCCTTGAGCCTGTTTTTCAGGTCTCAGGCTCGAAAATGACATTCCCAGAACAAATGACCATATCTTCCCTTCTAAAAGGGTTAAATTAATAATGCTTTTTCTCAAAGTAATGATAAACCTGTGATTTGGATGTAGAAAAGTCAGAATCAATATAGATGTTTTTTATTTTAAAGAAAATTCAGATTTTACATAGTAAAAAACTGTAAATTATAGTGTCCGTCCAAAAATTCTTTTTTACTTATAGTGAAAGCTACCTTTGGATGATGGTAAGGTAGACTAAAAGCTTTAGGAATCCAAAGTACAACATGTAATAAGTACCCTGTATCAAGATTGATGCAAAACAAGTGACATTTGACCTTTTTAGAGAGATTTAGCCAAAAACACCCACTTCTGGGGTCATTTGGGTGGATTTTCCATATCTCTGGCCCCCCTTGCTCAATTTTGATGGTTGACACCTCTTTCTGACCGTTAGAGCCAATACAATCGAAGGGGGAGTCCCCCACACACACGTTGTGAAGAGAAAAGGTGGGGGCTTCGCGCATGCAGTTTTGCATCAGAGCGAACCTATCTCTAGCTTTGACATCTGGAAACGGAAAAGCAGTTTTAATGCTTATGGATTATCAGAAATCATTTCAAAGGGACACAGACACATTAGATCAGGGGTGGGCATTTTACGGCCCGCGGGCCACATCCGGCCCGTTGGCCCGTGTGAGGTTGATCATAAATTATAACATAATGAAAAAAAACAGCAACCTTTTCAAAATAAAAGCAACACAGCTGTATTGCTTGCATGGCGTAAATACTTTTCTAACTGTGTTGCTTTTATTTTGAAAAGGAAGCTGCTGTTTTTTTTATTTATTTACGTAAACGCGCATGCCGTGAACAGCTACGAGTGATGCTGGCCGGCTAGTCCTCGAAATGTCCGCTAAGGGCAAAAAAAGAAAGATCGATACTGAATGCCGCGTTTTCAACAAGACATGGACCGCTAAGTATTTATTTACAGAAGTGAAAGGTAAAGCTGTGTGTTTAGTTTGTGGTGCGCAGGTCGCTGTGTTCAAGGAGTACAATTTGAGTCGCCACTATGCTACCAAACACGCAGATAAATACAAGAACCTGTCTGAGGAAGAGCAGGCAAAGGGGTCGGATGCTTTGCTAGCTAAGCTGCAAAGCCAACAACACATTTTCACAAAACATTCCACATCCAGAGATGCAGCTGTCAAGACGAGTTATGTCTTAAAAGTAAACCGTTTTCGGACGGAGAGTTCATTAAGGAGTGTTTGAAAGTGCCGCTCTCCCGACGCACTGTTACGAGGAGAATTGAGGACATCGCGGGAAATCTGGAGCTTCAGCTGCAGAACAGAGCGGTCAACTTTGACTTTTTTTCCTTGGCTTTGGATGAGAGCTGCGATGTACGTGACACTGCCCAGCTACTCATCTTCCTACGTGGGATAACTACAGACTTCAAAATCACGGAGGAGCTGGCAGCCATGCAGTCAATGAAAGGTACAACAACAGGGAGTGATTTGTTCACGGAGGTAAATGCATGTGTGGAAAAGTTGGGACTGAAATGGGACAAGCTGGCAGGCGTGACAACGGATGGTTGTCCAAATCTGACAGGGAAAAATGTTGGACTATTGAAGAGAATGCAGGATAAAGTGACAGAAATTAACCCTGAGCAGAAATTGGTATTTTTGCATTGCATTATACATCAGGAAGTGTTGTGTAAGTCAGTGTTAAAAATTAACCATGTTGTTGATGTTGTAACTAAAATAGTTAACTTCATCAGGGCAAGAGCATTGAATCACAGACAGTTTGTTGCACTTTTGGAGGAAAGTGAGACTGAACATCGTGACATACCCTACCATGCAGCTGTCAGGTGGCTCAGCCTGGGCAAAGTGCTGAAAAGAGTATGGGACCTGAGAGAAGAGATTCAAGACTTCTGTGTGAAGAAAGGAAACGACATCCCACAGCTTTCAGATGCAGACTGGATGGCAGACCTTGGTTTTGCTGTAGATGTGACTGCACTAATGAGTGAACTAAATGTCAAACTGCAAGGCAAGGGCCTTTTTGTGCATGACATGTACAGTGCAGTGAAGGCTTTCATGAGAAAGCTGCAGCTTCTCTCAAGCCAAATGGAGGACAACATTCTCACGCACTTGCCAACACTGAAGGAAGCCACACCATCAGCTGATCACCTCCAGAGGTACTCATCCATGTTAGAAGCACTGCATGGTGAGTTTTCAAGGCGATTTAAAGACTTCAAAACAGTTGAGAATGAAATGAACATGATCTTTTCCCCATTTACATGCCATGTGGATGATGCACCCAGTGATGTTCAGCTTGAACTCATTGACCTGCAGTCTGACACACTTCTGTCAGAGCACTTTAGGTCAGTCTCACTGCCTGAGTTTTACTCTTCCCTGAAAGAGGAGAACTTTCCACACATCAGGAGACGTGCTCAGAAGATGATGGTCCTCTTTGGATCTACCTACATATGTGAACAGACATTCTCAGTGATGAAATTCAACAAATCCAGATACAGATCCTCTATCACTGATGATCACCTCTCAGCTGTCCTTCGCATATCCACCTCAGACATTGAACCAGATTTCCGTGCACTTGTTCAAGCCCAAGACAGACTGGATTTTTCTCACTGAACAAGTAAAATTAACTGAAAAACAAAAGTCAAAAGCACTCATTTCTTTTTGTATAAAGCTGATTAATTTCTTATCTTTAACATACTGTAAAACACCTTTTCAGTATTGGTATATTGAGCAGAATTAAGTTCAACTTATTTTTGATTCGGCCCCCCAACACAGCTCGAGTTTCTGAAGTGGCCCCTTGTAAAAAATAATTGCCCACCCCTGCATTAGATTAACCTATGGATTAACTTCAGCAGCGATTTTATCGTTTTAATGCCATTGAAGACCACTTTGGAGAGACTACAGCGCCAAGGTAAAAATGTTAGCATTTTTAGCTACCTAGCGTCACCTGTTTTGATGTCCGTTTTTGCTTATAACGTCGCAAATACGTATAATTCAGTGATAATGAGGGTACCCATAAATTCTGTGTCACCTCACGATGTGAATCGATGTCATGGATGTGGAGAAGAGATAAATAATAAGGTTTTGTGAGTGATTTTCGGTGCAGTAATCTGTTAGCATTCTTCGCTCGTTGCTAATTCAGAGGCTCAGTGTTAGCATTGTGGGTTTTCTTTTGAAAAAAAAATAAAAATGATCAGTTAGATGAGTTTCTTCCCGTTACCTGGATATAAAACATTCATAGTTTTATTAAATGAACATGCCCTCAGACACTGTGTCCTGCAAGATGTTGCGGCAGTGCCCCGGTACCGGGGTCTCTCGGGCTAAACAGGTTAAATATGTTTTAATGTTATTATAGTTTTCTTCAAATAGTTTTACATGTGTTTGTTTTACTTTAATGTCTGCTCCACGACACCAAGTCAAATTCCTCGTACATGTCTACCTGGTGATAAACCTGGTTCTGGTTCTGATTCATGCTTTAAGGCTAAATAATAATAATAATAAAGCTTTATTCATACAGCACATGCAGCTCAAAGCGCTTTACAACATGTCTCATCACAAGTTAAAAATATTCCCCTCAGACATGCAGCAAAATACAACATTTGATCAGAACCATAGACTCAATTCTCTCATTTCCCCTCCTCGACTCCTCGACTCCTCGACTCCTCGACTCCTCGGTCCTCCGGTAGTGACCCGCAAATGGATTTCAGCGCGCCATGTTGAAGGACATCTCGTTTCTCTAAACGCCTGCTGCTTCCCCTCCTCTCTCCTCGGTTCCCCT